GCAGTGGCCCCCCCTGTGAAAATGGTTGCCCACCCCGGCTCTAGGCCTTAGCTGGGAGCCAGCTGGCTGTGTGGAGGCTCATGCACTGAGCTCCAGAGGTCCCGGGTTCGGTTCTGCCTGTCCGCTTCCCGGGTCCCTCTGATTTCTGGGGCTGCTGCAGCTCCAGCCCCAGCCCTGCCAGCTGGGATTCTGTCTCCCTGCTCTTGCTTTTCTCCTGCGGGTGCCCAGAGGACATGTGCTTGCTGGGAGAAGGAGGAGGTGGCAGCCAGGCTCATGTTACCCACACACACATCTTCTCTAGGTTGAACACAGGCTGGCTTGGTCCCTCTCCAAAATGCCCGTCTAGTGGGTTTCTCCCGGCGCCCTTCCGCCCACCCACTGCTCCCCAGCAGGCTGCGGGGCAGAGGGTCAATTGTGAGTCACGCAGCGGTGTGGGGGTTGTCTCTGGTGTGGGACGGGCCCCCCCCCAGAACCTTCTCTGCACCCGTTTTGAAATAGCAGAGGGATCAGTCCCCTGGGGGAAGAAGCATTTGGGTCAGCTGGTGTCAAGTGTACGTCAGTGAGGCACCTGGGAAACTAACATCTGGCTGATAGAGGAGGTCCAGTTGTCGGTGTTACATCTGGAACGTGGCCATAAGACAAAGCCTCCAGGCCCCGAGAGCGTGGAGCAGCCTGGAGCGTTGCGTGGTCCTTAGGCCCTTACTCTTAGGCGCCAGTCTCCTCTTGTCTCCTTGCAAGCAGGGTCCACAAGGGGACATCACAGTGGAGCAGCCGGTGCCTTTATCCTTCCCACCTGCCCCCTATCTCCCGCCTGAGGCTGAAATGCAGCTGCCCCTGGAAGAGGCTGACGATGGAGTTGCACGGCACGCGGCTGTTGACGCTAGAGGGGAGAGTGGGCCTGGCGGAGAACAAGCTGGTTGGCTGTGAGAGGACTGTGGTGGAGTTTGGGAACCAGCTGGAGAGCAAGTGGGCCGTGCTGGGGACGCTGATCCGGGAGTACGGGCTGCTGCAGCGGCGGCTGGAGAACATGGAGAACCTGCTGAAGAACAAAGATGTCTGGATCCTAAAACTCCCCCCAGGTGCCCAGGGCGAAGTCCCCAAGGTAACAATAGCCCCGCTAGCCCTGCGGTCCCCTTTAGTACATGCCCAAGGGGTCTGTAGCCCAGTGATGTTCAGCTCTGTTACAAATGGCTTGGTTAGGTAGGGTTCCCTCGTGCCCAACAAATCACCCATTAGGTCCACTTAGCTCCATCCCACGCCGCCCCATCTACACGCCAATACAACGGGGAGAACTAAAAACCACTCAGCATTAAGCTGAGGTGCTGGCCGGCTCTCGGATCCAGCGTGAGCACAGGGAGCCGTGGAATGAGAACAGGAAATGAGCACGTGTAGATTTTAGCACCGGCAATCCAGTCTTGGCTTGTGGCTTTCTGCCGTTCACAGCTGGTCCGTGGCCAGTGGCCAGTGCCAGCCTTTTGTTTGATGTCTTTTCCTTTGTCGGGAGGGAGGGTTGCAGCTGCTGAGGTGGCACCCAGAGAGGGGCGGAAAGGGGGTCAAACGGGTGATATTAATTGGTCTTGAGTAGGGATGTAAAAGACTAGTCGATTAATCCACTACCTGATAAACTAGGATTATTGGTTAATCGAGTCAACTACTCATATTTCCCCCACCTTGCTACCTCTTATATCAGAGGCAGTAAATGGGGAGGAGGGAAGCAGGAGCGGGTGCTGGAGGGAGCTGGCTTAAAAGCTGGTGTTGTTTGCCCCCACCCCTCTGCTTCTATCAGAGGCAGCAGTGCGGGAGGGGGGGGAGGAGGCTTTTCCAGCAGTAGCTACTGTCTGCAGAGGGGTTCCAGCTCCTTGCTGCCCATGGCTGCTGGGCCCGGTACGAGGAGCTACCCCCGCTGCGGCTCTGAAGTTTAAATTTCATACGTACGCCTAGCTCCTACTGCTTTTAAACTGCAGAGCCGCAGCGGGGGTCGCTCCTTCTGAGCACCTTCCCTTACTGACTGATCCGATTCCCCAGTTGCCTGCCTCTTAGCATCCTTAGTCCTGACCTTCCCGGCTGCTGTCTGTGCCCATAGAAGTACCGCAGATTGGAAGAGCAGGCATCACTGTGGCATGGAGAGGTTTATCCATGGAAGTATTGCATGATCAGGCATGAAGAGGGGAGCAGAGCCGAACTCAATCAACCATGAGCAGCTAGATGCAAGTTTGGGGTGTTGAGAAGGCCCAAGGGGGAATGCCTGGTGTAGGCAGCGCTGGATGCTTTGCAAACATAAGAGGCAGCACGAGAAGAGGGGGCATAACGTTGGGGCCTGGAGAAGCTGATGGAGCATTTGGAAGAGGGAACTGGGCAGAGCGCGGGCATAAGATGGGCATTGCAGGTGCAGCGGGAGGCAGGGGTGAAGTTGTGTGGTACTCTGACGGTGAGGAGGGCAGGGAGTTTTCTGTGCCAAAACTGTGTGGGCACGACGCTTGTGATTTCAGGTCCCTGTGAAGTTCGACGAGGTCTCGGGCTGTTTCTCCGGGCAGGAGTGGGGGGTTTTGGAGCAACGGCAGGAGGAGCTTCACAGGAACACAGAGAGGAGCCACTATGAGACGTTGATCTCGCTGGGTAAAGAGGAGCTGAAAATTCCTTTGGTCTCAGTCAGATGGTGGGAGGGCCGGATGTTGCTTGGTCTATTGCTCATGCTCCAGTCTTACCCACAAGGAGGTGGAAAGAGACCCCCCTCTTCCTGCTCACTCTTCCGCCTGAAGCTTCTCTGGCAGGGCCTGTGTTGGTCTGCGGGGAGTGCGCCTGTGATAGGCTCCCTGTGCCTGAGTCCGGACAAAGCCAGCCAATCGCCTGTTGCTTCTGTCCGTCGGGGCTGCCCATTGGTGAGGGAAAGGGGGCTGCTTTACACTAGGTTAAGATTCTGTGGGTTGGCAGGTGTGAACTCGGTGAACTATTACCCAAGCGCTAAGTCCCTCAATATCCTTTCCCCCGGACAGACCATGCTGCTTCCACGCCTGATGCTCAGTCCTGGATCGAAGCCCGGGAGGAGCCTCGTGTCCAGGGAGGGCAGGGCTCTCCAAAGAGAGAAACCCCGACGGCGCCCAGCACAGGTGAGGAGGAGCCGGCCCGAGCCACTTGGAAGCAGCAGGAAAACGTCGAGGGCAGGGAAGTAACAAGATCTGTCTGTGCGCATGGGGTGATTATAGCTCCCCGGATGAGTCCGGTCCCCGTGTTCCATCTCTGGGGAGTTTTCGCCTTTCGCAGTTCATGCTGCCGCCGGCCCAATGTTGCCCTCTAATCCCCCCGAACGGGCTCAGCGGATGTGAGAGAAACCTAACGTCATTCTCCTTCCCGCCAACAGGGTCTCCCTCTTCTCCTTCCCAGGAGAGCACCTGGATTAAACAAGAGGAGACGCCCTGTGTGGAGAGCCAGGGGGGCCTGGAGGAGAGAGACTTCCCTCCAGCTCTCAGCCAGGGTGAGTGACGGAGCCAGCGGAGGCAGAGGAGAGGGATGTATCTGGGCTGGGGAGGGGAACCGCAGGCGGGAGGGACAGAGCAGGCGAGGCGGGAAGGCGATAAATGCGTAGGGACAAGATAGCAATGGCCAAGCAGCCATGGGGAGGGGGGCTTTAGGCGTATGTATTTGCATGGCTCAGCAGTGTGCTAGGCACGCTACAGACAGGAACCCTCTCTGCCCACAGCTTCCTGCAGGGGAGCGGACAGAATTGCTGGGCCCTTGAGCGAAGTGGAGAGGTGGGGGCCTTGGGCAAAAAGGGGGCGGGGTCTTGGGCAAAAAGGGGTGGGATGTTGAGCTGAAGAGGCGGGGCTAGGGGCGCCCCCGGGCAGCGCCCCCTCCAGGCCCCCCGGGGCAGCAGCATTCGTGGCTGGGACCAGCAGGCTGTTTTGAATGGCTGGGCCCTGCACAGTTGCCCGTTTGGGCATCTCCCAGTCAGCAGGCCTGGCTCCCTGGTTTCCTTGCGGAGTGAGGAATGGCCTAGGAAGAGCTTTGCTGTTATTGCACGGGGCAGGGGTAAATCCTCTCTGATTCCCTTTGGCTCCCAGCAGATGAGTGGCCTCTCGAGGAGCAGGCAGCCATCCTGGAACGTCTCTGGGGGGCGCCAGGAGGCACGGAGGTGGCTTCCCCACGACCTGCTGGGAGGTGGAGCCGTGGGGGTCAATGCAGCTCCCTGACCCAGCAGGGAAGCCCTGCAGGAAGCCCCTCCGCTC